TTTTTTTTTTTTTTTTTTGAAGGGGGGAGTGAATGTGCTGTGCAATTAACATTTAAAACATTTTTAATCAAAACATTTTTGACTTTGGGCCTCTAAAAAAGTCGCATATTTAGAATAAAGACTATTTTCTTTATTTTTTTCTTTTTACTTATATCTTTTTCGTATTGTCTACAAACCATGTTGCTCACATTTTACATAACAAACGATAGAGACGGCTTCTCGAATGTAAATTGACAACGTTTTAACAGGTTTCTTGTACATTTCCACTTTCAACGTGGATTCGCTAGGAGAATGTCTGCTGGTAACGGAGAGGAATCTGTGGATAGAAATGTTGAAGTTTGGAAAGTAAAAAGATTAATAAAAAGTCTTGAAATGGCAAGGGGGTAAGTTTATCACTACTCGCGCTTTTCCAGATTTAGTTGGTAGTTGTTTTCTTCACATTACTTGTTTTCATAAAAAATGTTTTGATGGGTTAAATTTGCTTAAGAAAAATGTTCTTAGAGAAAAAAGTTGTAGCTACAATATGTCTGAATTTTTAGGAATGGCACATCTATGATTTCTTTAATTATTCCTCCTCGTGATCAGATTGCCCGTATATCTAAAATGCTGGCTGATGAATATGGAACTGCTTCAAATATAAAGTCCCGTGTCAACCGACTTTCTGTTTTGGGTGCGATTACTTCAGTACAAGGACGATTAAAACTGTATAATAAAGGTTTTTTTTGAAATTTCGAACATTTTTTGCAGCTAGAGTATTTCTATGGAAAACTTTTAGTGCCACCCAATGGACTTGTCATTTATTGCGGAACTATAGTTACTGATGAGGGTAAAGAAAAGAAGGTGAACATCGATTTTGAACCTTTTAAACCTATAAACACATCACTCTACCTTTGCGATAACAAATTCCACACAGAGGCCCTACAAGGTTTGTTTTGCAGCTATTTGTTCGTGGTCGAATTTTATTTTACCTATTCTATTACAAGTACCTAGGATAACCTTGGCCTTGTGGTTTATATCGGTAACTTTAGCTTTGTTGGCTGATGACAACAAGTTTGGCTTTATTGTAATGGATGGGAACGGATCTTTGTTTGGTACTTTACAAGGAAATACTCGTGAGGTGTTGCACAAATTCACAGTGGAACTACCGAAGAAACATGGTATTTGAAGTATTTTTTTTCTAGGATTATTATTATAGTACCATTTCCGTTGTTACAGTAGAACGCTTTGAAAAATTTCGTTTTGCAGTTTGTGGAGGAAACGGAAACTTTTTTTTTTGAGGTTAGATTCTTTGTAGAATTGAAAAATTGGCTGACTTAGGTCGGGGTGGTCAATCTGCGTTACGATTTGCAAGGCTTCGTATGGAAAAACGGCACAATTATGTCAGAAAAGTCGCGGAAACAGCTGTAGAGATGTTTATAAGGAATGATAAAGTAGTCGTTGCTGGCCTGATTTTAGCGGGTAGTGCCGATTTCAAAACCGAGTTGGGTCAGTCTGATATGTTCGATCCGGTAAGCTCGAAATCTAGTCATCTTAACATATCTTCGCTGACTTCGATTTTCTATTTTTTGTCAAAAAAGCCTGAGCCGTAATAGTTTTTGCACTTAAACATAGTTTGTTTCTTTTTTATCTGTAAATTAGTTAGTATTATCAGAAACAGTTTGATATATTACCTTTTATGATAAGTCTACCATAAACTTACCACTGAGTAGCATCTTCTTTATTATGTTTTAAGAGGGTATCTTTCTTGGTGACAACTGGTTTATCTTGTTCCTTGCAGCGGCTGCAAGCAAAGATGATCAAAACTGTGGATGTTTCGTATGGGGGCGAGAATGGCTTTAATCAAGCGATAGAGTTGGCAGCAGATGCTTTGGCCAATGTCAAATTTATACAAGAAAAGAAATTGATTCAGGGGTATTTTGATGAGATATCTCAGGTTAAACCCATTTCGCTTTTAATAGTTTTCAATTATAATTTTATATTAGTCAATTGGTGAAATGCTTATTTTAAGTCGTTCTCTTATTAACTTTTGCTTATGAAGGCCACTCGTCATTTCCAAGTTATCGAGGTTCCCTTTATTGTAGGATACTGGTAAGTACGTTTTTGGCGTTAATGACACGCTTCAAGCACTAGAAATGGGAGCTGTAGAAACCCTGATCTGTTGGGAGAACTTGGACATTACGAGATATAAGCTTAAAAGTCCTTCTGGAGGCAAGATTTTTTGTTGTTTGTTCAATTTCTTATTAAGAAAGTTTGGACCTAGTACAGGAGATTATATCTTTGACTGACTCATCTTAAGCGATATTTCTTGATATTCTTTAACCTAGGAGACGAGTTGTCCTGTATAGAAATTTTAAAACAGCTTTTTTTGATTGTCTTTCTTCAATTTACAGAGGAGAAAATTGTTCACTTACGGCCAGACCAGGAGAAAAACAAGAGTCATTTTACAGATCCAGCTGTGAGTTTTTAACCTTTTATTATTTGAAACTCCATTACAAGTCAGCTTGTTTCTTCTTCTGGAAGCATGCGTTACGGTGATGGAAAAGCGTGTTCTTTGCAGTGGAAAGCTTTCAACTTTATCAGTTATTGATACAAGTTGTGGCTGGACGCTGCTCATTTATTGAACGGATGTGACTTTTGGGAGTTGGCACTTTTTCTAATAAAAGTGCCGTAGTGAAGTCACTAACAAAATTTTATTTAACTTTCATTTAATATATTTTTTTGTCATATTTTTAAAGTTGCTCTAGTTGCATCTTTATAATCAGGTTTTGCTCAGAAAGAAGAGTTGTAGGAAAGTAATGATTAGTTGGGGATTTGTTTCTACTGTGTAGTATGAGCCATTTGATGTTAAACGTAGGATTTTCGTGGAAGTTGTGATACCAAAGAGCTGGTTTCGGGGTTAGAAATTATCGAAGGAGAGGTGGTTTTCGAAAAGGTTTGTTGTGTATAAACGGCTTATTTTCAGACTGGTGCGGAACTTGAGCTAGTCGAGTCTATGGCGTTATTAGAATGGCTTGCTAATAATTATAAATCGTTTGGTGCTGCTCTTGAGATTGTGACGGATCGCTCTCAGGAAGGGGCCCAGTTTGTTCGAGGATTTGGCGGCATAGGGGGTATGCTGTTTTGCTTAAGTGGCGCAAATTGTTTTTTATTTTTATCTAGTTATTTGATTTACAGGCCTTTTGCGGTACCGAGTGGATTTTCAACTGTCGGATCTTAATGAAGGCATTGATGACATCGACCTCGATGATTATTGACTAACCCCGGTGGCTAGTCGCGATCATTCCTCCGTATCATCACTTTTAGGAAGATTGGATCTTTGTAAGCATCTTTTAAATCAGTTCATAATTCTGACCTGAACTCACACTGTAGTAGCTCCGCAACGTCGTTTGTTGAGATTTTCATGAAAAGTTAGGCAAATTTTTTTAGGTTCCCGTTGTTACGATGCTTCGAAAACAAATTTCTTGGTATATATTGAATCTCCTGCTATAATTTCGATGGTTTTGATAGTTCATGCGATCGCGACAGCCACCGCCTTGGATTACAGTTCAATAAAGTTTGCGTTTTATGAAAATCCTGTTCAGATATCTGAGAACTGCACTTATTTTTCAAAATTGATTACGGCCACTGTTGCTGTATTAGGCGTTCTTTTTCTATCACTGTTGTTTTTTATCTGCAGAATATAAGTGTTCGTTATTTGCATGCATATTTGGAAAACTACTTCAGATTCTTTTTTTCGCTGCATAGGACTGTTTCTAGTGAATGAATGGTTTTCTTCTTTTTAGTTTTTTATGAGCTGGGATTTGACCGATTGTTTAATTTCAGACAATAGAAATCTAAGCGTGAAATTCATCATTTTTTCAGCCTTAAGTCCGTACGTGCATGTTTGGTGCAGGCGATGAGTTTCACTTGTATATCGTACACCCACACTTACACCTTGAGGCATTTTTCCAATATGATGCAGCAGAGAAGGAATATTGTTATTTTATGGACAATAGCTGCTGATAAATTCATACACCTGCCTTGGCTTTCATATCTTATAAGGAATTGTTTGTCGTGCGCGTATGGCATAGAAATGGAAGTTTCCTAATGGTTGGTGGGTAGTATTGTCGTTAATTGATTGTGTTAATTGACCCAGAATATTCTTATCAATGTTTAGGGCTGCTGGTACAAGACTTTGCAGAAATTTGTTTCTTGGCAAGCATCATCGACTTTAACTCGCTAACGAATCATGCCATCCCCTTGAGCCGTGACGTTTCGACGCCTAAAGCGATTGTTTTCTATAGTTGTGGAAACTTCTTTTTTCCTTCGTCTTCAGTTAGCAGTGACATTTGTTATATATACTTGTATTATAGAAGGGGACTGAAATCAGAGTAATTTTTTTGCGCTACTGTTTGTTGGTAACCGTAATGTCTTCTGAAATTTTTTTTTCGTTTGGTGCCATAAAATTATCGTTTGTTTGGTCGTACACAGTCTTCTGCTGTTTCCCTTCAATCCGCTTTACGACAGCATCAATGTTTTGAAAGGTATTTGATGGACTAATTCGTTTGAGTAATTATTTTCTCTGACATTGCTTCAAAACCTGTTTCTGCTGTTTTTCACAACATTTTTTTGAAACGTATCATTTCTTCGGTGATTAAAACTGTTAATCTGGAGTTCTACTGGGATAGTTTACTCGTGGCTACTGTTGCTGCACTTTCCCCTCCCCCCTCCCCCCTCAGCCTTCCAATGTTACTTCGTGTGAGTGGGTACGGTGTGTTTGGGCTTTTATTTTTCATTTCCGTTTTTTGCGGCAGCAGAGCTTGTTGGGGTTTTTGTGATGTCTGACATAAATGAGTGTAGTTGGGGGTATTAAATATCTCCATAGATGCCCTTTTGAATCAGGCGTCTCAGGAGCAACGGTGTTTAGAGTTATTATTAGTTGGTTTGTGTCGTATTTTTGCGTCGGTTTTGGGTCTGTGATTTGGTTGATGGTTGATTTTAGCAAGTGAGGGCGAGAGGAGGTTCTGGGCGTGAGTGACTTAGGGTTTTCATTGCTGCTACTTAGTGTTTGCATTTTGTCGTTTTCGGATGTGGGTGCCTACAAAGCGGTGTATTTGGGTGTGGG